TGCACGCACGGCGGTCTAACAGCCCGCGTAAAAGTACAAAAAAAAAATTGTCCTAAATTGTTGCAACTTTTATTATAACATATGTCGGATTTGTTGAGATGTATTTTTTATTTAATCGAAATGTTTTAAGATTTTGTTCTCTTGACTTTCGCAAGTGGTTTATGAGTTGTGTGGTTGTTTAAATCCGCGTATGTGTGTATGCATTCCGAAACTAATTGTGGTCGAATTAATCTGTTTACGCTTTTATCTATTGATTGATAAACATTCTATGTCTCACGTCATCAGCTCACAATTTTCCTATAATCATTCTCAAATTTATACAACACATATCAATAACAATCACAACAATGGAAAGGAAAAAAAAAACAAATACGGTAAAAAAAAATGCACCGCTGTCCCCTATCAGGAGTTTTATCAGATTGGTACTTCGTTTTGTAAGTGTCGAGGTGGCGCTGACCAGTGCACCCACCACACCCGATGTCGCCTCCACCAATGACTCAATGTCTCCCACCACGAAAGAACTACAACCTTTTTTTACACATCATAAAGAAAAGGAAATAAACAGAAAAAGTTGAGAAAAAGACCCTTAATACAATGAAATAGACCTCAAAACTACATCTATTACAATCAAAGGTGGCACCTTTTTTTTTTGCAATTTTTCCTTTAAAACCAAACTTCTGGAATTGTTGGCGCGCTAACTAAAATTGGTGAAAAAGAGAGAATGAAACGTGAACAAACGACAACTGTGGAATAAAAAAAATCCCAAAGAAGATATAAATACTATACGCGTGTTAAATCGATGTGTACCATAAGAGATCACAACCGACAGAAATAGGGAACGTATGACACAACAAACTGTATTTGAAGCTACTAATAAGAACCCACTTCGAAAAATCTCTAAATTACACAAATATTGGCCAAAGTTAGCGTCTTTACCTGCAAAATTACAATCTGCTGCGAAAAGCTCCCAATCCTGAAAACGCCCTCGAGATTATCAAAAACTGCTCAATATAACACAACAGAATGTATTTCGAGCTTGTAATAAAAAGACCCACTTCGGAAAAAGCTCTAAATTGCACAATTCAGCGTCTCTCTTTAGTTAACCTATTTATACCTTGTTGTATAACAAAAGATTTAACACCACCAGATTGATTGGTTGTTGGCGTAAACGTGCTTAGGACTGATTCCATTCTTCTTGCTCTTGATTCACTGTGCATTTGTCAGTTGATGTCTTTCTCAGATCAGCTTGGTGACGTTTTCTAGCCTGTACCTACGTTGTCTTTTGCGATTTTTTAAAGGGCGAACTAAGATATCATCAGGACTCGTCCTGTCTTCTTTCTCATCGCGATTCAACACCAGAGAATGGAAGCAACCCAAGATGCGAGTTCATACAAATGAATTTCTGAGTGGCATTCTGTAAATTCATACCAAAATGTCAGTAAATAATGAATTCATGTATCGAACCACTAATAGTCAATATTGATAGATTTTTGGAACTTTTGTAATCAGACTAAATCTCAAGGGCTAGCCGGCTAGGACAATTTCAGTAATGAACCGAGATCGCTTGTCAGCAATTACGTGGTAGCTCTTATGGAAATATAGAGTTACCTCAGAAAATAAGGTTTAAAAGACCCAAAACAGGGAGAATGAATATACCTTGCTCTTTCGTAAATAATCCAGTAGTGTCGTCTGCACATGGAAATGAAACCCATTAGCACGAGTTTCACAAAAATGCAATATTCCGAAAAAAAAAGAAGAAAAAATCGATTTCTGTTTTCCCTAACCTTTCCGTGATCCACGTCCGATTATGGTCAAAACAGGAAGCCTCTCTTCTAACTTATCCAAATCTTCCTCGTCGAGAATCTTCTTTTTGCCATATCCTCCACTCTCACGGACACAACATCGATAACCTCTACCTCATACTCCCTGCATACCATCTTCACAATATCCGTACTCAGTTTCTGCACCCCATCGCCTAATCCCCATAGAATACAAATACCCAAGAATCTCACCTTCACTTACGGCCAAATTGTGAAGGTGTCATGCTCTTAATTTTATAGCTGGTAAACAGAAACAAACAAAAACTAAAAAAACTGCAACACAAAAATAGTAATAATTTAACTTCGTATAAACTGATTGCAGCTCACAAAATCAAAAGATGCATTACAATCCAAACGCACATGAATTCAAAATGAGCATAAGTGTCCCCTTCACCAACTCAACTATCAAAATTAAGAGAACAAACTGGGGCAACGAAGTAAGTTCACCTTCCCCTGGTGTCAATTCTGATGACAGCAGTCTTTGTTACGGTCTTCTACTCGACCAGCGCAACTGAAGCAAGCGAGATAAAACGTCGGCCGCGTTTGGAGCATGTGAGAGCTTGAGATTTAGTACCGGCAGGCACATCAAAACCGAGAGCTGAAACAGAACCAACAGTGAGATTGGTGCCTAATGGCCTCATGTTATGTTAATCCAGACCTCTAAAAAATCGGTGTTACACTTTTTCTTCTATAAAAATTCAGAATTGCACAAGTGAACACAATTGTAACACATAAGGAAAAAAAAAAAAACACACACACACACACACACGCACAACCTAACCACAAGCCAACACAATAAACCTTAAACCACAAAATCAAAACCTTCTACAAAATTCTAAACAATTCCCATATTCATCTCGACGGGCATACCCAGCTATCGGTGTCCGACAAGAACCATCCAGTTTCTCAAGAAAAGCCCTTTCACACACTACAGCTAATCTTGTATCCTCATGATTCAAGGATGCCAAATAAGTTGCCTGTAGACATTGAATATTCCGAGCATACAATAACATTAAAAGGAAAAACCGTTGAGAAACCCCAAGAAAAACAATTTTGTGTCAAATTACATATATATATATACCATTTTGTCATCATTACTTCTGCATGCAATCCCGATGGCTCCTTGGGCTACAGCAGGAAGCATATCATCAATGGGTAGAACTGTAGTCACATTTTCGGTCATGTTTAGGCGCTTCAAACCTGCTAGTGCCAGTAGTGTTGCCTGGACCACCCCCTCATTCAGTTTTATTAGCCTTGTCTGCACATTACCTCGGAAATTCTCTAGCACCTGTAGGATTATGCATTTAAGTTTAAAAGATCAATCTACGCATTCCATTATCAATGAATCAAGTTAATAAGGTAAACAAGAAGAAAACAAATTGAGTATGCAAAAATATTGATGTGTCCATATTTCAGTATGACAATATGTAATAGTATCTTGCAGCTGATGAATCTGCCAGGAACTAAAAGGGGCAGCTCAGCTACAAACAAACTGCTCTGTATTCTCATACTCA